TGTATTTTCAGACTCTTTATTTTACATGTCTGGTACAAGTTTTACAAGTTTGTAGTAAAATATTTTCACACCATATAGAATATATAAAGTCGCAACAATGTACGTTGTTCAGTAGGCGTTGATATAAACTTTTACGTCCCAAGTTCTGTGTTCAAGTTAAATGACAGCGGTTGCAGTTACAGGGAGTTCGCTTTAAACGCTTACCCGCTTACATCCTGCTGAGATAGTCGCGTGTGAAAATATTTTGTTGCTACTTCTGTGAAGAAGTTCTTTGATATACTGTCGGATTATGTTTTATCCTCACATGGACACATGGAACATACATTATTCAGTTTCGCTTTTATTTATTTATTATAATTTGGGATCACAAATACATAGAAAATAAACAACGGTTTTTTTATACGATTTAGAATGTTAAACAAGCTAATGGCCCACCTAATGGAAAGTAGTAACCGTCGTTTATAGATATCAGCAGTACCATGGATACTGTTCGAGGATGAGTATACTGTTTCGTCTATGATACCTCCCATGCGTTTCTATTCCGGAGGACTCAGGTGTTATTCCTCTGTACCCTGTAAATGCACTGCTATATCCCACCCTTCAAACTGAAATACAGCCATGCAAACACAACTGCTTCGCAATATCATTATAAAATTTTATAAACTTTATTATTTTCTAACCATACAACGGATTCAATTTTTCAATTTAATAAAAGTAAAATGTAAAGAAATTAGTTCCAATTTGGTTGGATGAATCTTGGATGAGCCCAACACTTTGCTCTAAAAAAAAAGGAATTTAAATATTACATATGTTAAAGTCAATACTAAAATTAACTAAATCGATCGTAAATAGATTTAGTTCCAAACAAAAAAAAAAAGAAATACCGACTTCAGTCATGAGAGATGATAATAATAAAGATTTTTAACAGAGAATATTCAAAATCGGTGTATAAATCTGACTTCTGAGGCAATAAATATAACAAAAAACATCTTAATTGAAAATCTCCATATTTACTGCAATCGGTTAAAAAAAAATAAAAGAATTTTTAGAATTGGTGGAGATATTCACTTACAATAACAAACTGAGAACCTGAAGAGAAGAGAAAATGGCGGATTTTGGATATCGGATTGGAATTAAAAATAAAGTACACGGAAAGTAAAATATAAAACAAATCTGCTTCCGTTTCCGTTTTCCGCGATCAAGTTCGAATGAGAGCTGTCACGTCTTGGTTTTATGTTTATGCGAGGGAATTAAGCCGGCAAATTCTTAAGCAGCCTGTTGTCGACTAAGAGAGTTAACTTGACGATCACCTGGAATCACTGTGTACTAATAGGTTGATTAACGGAATGAGATACATCGACTAGACAATAGTGATGACTGTAACGAGAACATTTTGTGTTAGAAAATATTTTAAAGGCGCAACCCTGTATTTGAGAATATTAAATTATTAAATAGTTGAAATAACTAAATAGTAATTAAACAAATTTCGAAGTTTTAACGACTCGACCCGATGAAATACGAACCCAAATCTTAGCAATTATATACAATAAGCCAAGAATTATCGTCACCCTCATATCGGCCGTTATTCGACTACTGCTAAACATAAGCTTCCTCATAGACTAGCATAAGGAACGGTTATGGAACCGATAGTTAGGATAGCCTAAGTCACCTAAAACCACTGACTCACTGCAGTGCATTTGAAGTCGCCACTCCATCTAGCGAAGGGTCGTCGAAAACTGTACTTGCAACGGTCCTAAATCACCTAAATCCATTGATTTTACTGTATTTGCCAGTACTGGATCGCCACTGAAGAAATTTCTTTCCCTATTGGTTATCGGTCCTTCAAATTATGTAACCAGCCCATTACCACTTCTTCTTGCTTATTCTTCGGGTATTGTCAGTCACTTTGATTTTTCTACGTATATCCTGATTTTGGATCTTATTACGTAAATAAACTCTTAACAAAAGCTAAAACTGTTCCCGGCTTTACCACCGCTATATTTGGCAAATCTTTCAACACCTTTTTTTCAAAATGCGTGGGAAAAGTGAAGGGGTTAAAGACCTAAGGACAGACTACATTTTGTTGATTAATTAAATATATCCCGATGATGTTTTCGAAATCGTGGGTAAAACCAGTCTCTGTTAAGGAAATTTCAATAATTATTATTTTTGTTTATTATTTTCTAGTCTGATATATTTAGCTAAAAGAGGGACTAAATGTTATACATCAGTACAGTTACGATATCAGGTTTATAATGCAAATGTGATCTGATTTGAAATTGATTGTTCTCATGTTTCTATTGCGGTGTCAGTTCGACAAATAGCAATAGTAAACCTGTGCATACGGTGTACGCGATACAGCGACTAGCGAAAATGTTTATCTAATAGTAAAAGTCATAATATTTTTTTTTTTTTAATTTTCAATTAACGTCTTGAAGCACCATAAGATTTATGTAAAATGAACATATGAGTAAGTAAATTCTAGCGACTACAGAAAGAATTACGAAAATGAATTTAGAATTGGTAACAATCACGTAGTATGTTTCGTGGCAGAAAATAAAATAAAATTGTTATCCTAAAACTGTATCTATTTGCTGTAGTGTAGCCCTGGTTTTCCTATGAACAAATAAATAAAATAAATAAATAAAAGATAGTTTTAAACTTTGGCGTCGTTTACACATATTTCAAGTACACAATGGAGACTTAATGTGATGTAAATGTCTTCACAGGTAAATAGCATCTACTTTACCTATATACCTTTACTAGAGGGAGACTTTGTACAAAAGTCGTTTGCTTGGGTATCTGTGTCTCATTCGTGTCGTCTATAGGCGACGGTTACCACTTTCCATTAGGTGGACCGTCAGCTTGTTTGTCATTCTAAGTAGGATAAAAAATACCTACTTCTTTATTGTCGTCGTTTCGACGTAGATTACACTACGTCGTGGTCACGATAGTGGCTTTTACATCGCGTAAAATCCCGATTGGGTATTTAAAATAAAATATGATATTCTGTGTGTGAGAAATTCCTTCTTTTGGGAATCGCATAAAAATATATTCGAATTTACATATGCTATGCAGTATCTTCGTCAGATACTTAACAAAGATTAATATTTTTTTCTTAATATGATAAGATTTACTTCATGACAAATAACATCTTTATAATGTTGAATTGTATCTCGTTATATATGTAATATGTACAATCGTATAGATTCAAACTATAAAATTATGTCAGTGTGATATATTTAGTATTTATTTATTTATTTAAGGAATACCAACAGCATTTTTTTTTATACTACTTAGAATGGCAAACAAGCTGGCGGTCCACCTGATGGAAAGTGGTAACCGTCGCCTATAGACATGAGCAGTACTATGAACATAACAGAGTATACTGTTTCGCCCATGATACACCCCATGCGTTGCCATTCCTGAGGACTCAGATGTTATTCCTCTGTACCCAGTAAATTCACGCCATATCCCACCCTTCAAACCGAAACACAGCCATGCAAACACAGCTGCTTTACGGTTGAAACACGAATGGGACAGAGGTACCCAAGCAATCGACTTTTGTACAAAGTCTCCTTCTGGCATATTGTATTATAACATATAGGTATAACAAACATTAAATATAATACAATATTAATGCACGTGCCTATTATAGGTATTCACAGCATTCACTTTAACATAATTATACAGTGCGAGAAAATGAAGTAACAATTACAATGAATTAAATAACACTAGACTACAAATATTTTAAAAGTTGCGTTATTACTTATAAAAATAAACATGTAACCTAAGCTGTGAGTAGTAAATATATGGCCAATATTGTTTATTTACAATGAATTAAACATAGATATTTCGTATGTAATTGAAATCGCTTGTCGCTCTGCTTGTGACTGCTAGCAACCTAATTTCACATGATCTAGTAAGCGTAGGCGGCAGACGCCGGGTCTCATGTCACAAATCTCTCATACGTTTATCATAAATAGAGTTCGTCATAAATCAAACACACCTCAATTTGTATGACGTTATGGTACAAATTGCCTTATCATATGATGACACAATTTTAATTCGAGTCGTGCCATGTCGACTGTCGTGTTAAGTTCGCATTTTGACATGGAGTTCCATGTTGTTGTTATGTTCCATATGACTATGTGATACATCAAATATTAAGGACAGACGACGACTGGGTGAAAATGGATTGGTAACCCCGCCCGCGTTATTGGTATACACTGACGAGGCACCAGTGGAAGATGATAGGTGAGAATGTATGTAGGTAGTTGGCCCACCATGATGAATTCGACAAGAATTAAACATGATGGTTTCCAGGGGGAACCGCGTGGAGGTCGATCTGAGAGAGTATATTGCTAGTAATGGGGTTATTAGACCCCATTACTAACAATCCCTTTCTCCCCACAAGAGGAGTGTTATCCGACTATGAATAAATAGAAGGTTAACACTAGGCTCAGAGCAGTGAGCTATTAATCTGCCTGAAGATATTTCGTTTAGAGTTGAAAGACGTATTGCAAATAGAGCATGGACGGAATGACAGTCGGTGATCGATAGCGATCGTAAGTAAACTAATAGCAGCGGAATTAAAATAATACTAATCAATTAACCAGTGTTATGAATTTCCTGCAAAATAACACTTAGTTTTTTTTATACAACTTAGAATGACAAGCAAGCTGACGGCCCACCTGATGGAAAGTGGTAACCGTCGCCTATAGACATGAGCAGTACCATGGACATAACAGAGTATACTGTTTCGCCCATGATACCCCCATGCGTCGCCATTCCTGAGGACTCAGGTGTTATTCCTCTGTACCCAGTAAATTCACTCCATATCCCACCCTTCAAACCGAAACACAGCCATGCAAACACAACTGTTTCACGGTTGAAACACGAATGGGACAGAGGTACCCAAGCAATCGACTTTTGTACAAAGTCTCTTATTGATTAGCGTAAATTAATATGGCACTAATTTAATATTATTTTGTATACAGGCGGAAGAATTGAATACGCTAGTGGGAGATGCGTTCCGAATGGCTTTCGCGTCGCAGCTGCAGCCTTCTGCCCCGCTCTGGGTTAGTACATAACACTGTTACCTTATATTCACTAACTGTTCAATCTACTTATGGTATATACAGGTCTCCCCGTGAACTGTCACAATGGACGGACCTAAGCCACTTGCATTGACTGTGATTTATAACGTGGACGGATCCGCTTAGCGTATCTCTATTACAATAAATGCCTTGATAAATTATTTAAAATATTTTAAAATTCGTATATTATCCTAATGTAAGGTTTGAAGGGTGGGATATGGTAGTGAATTTACAGGGTACAGAGGCATAACATTTTAGTACTCAGGAATGATAACGCATGGGGATATAATGGGTAACACTGTATAAGTACTCTATTATGTCCATGGTACTGTTCATGTCTATAGGCGCCGGTTGTCGTTTTTCATCAGGTGAGTCGTCAGTTCGTTTTCCGTTCTAAGTTGAATAACAAAAAAAAAAAAAAATTATAAATACTAGAAAAGTACCATGTAACCTTTTGCATCTTCTTTTTATTATTTAATAATGTTTAAATAAATAAATAACCACTTGAAAATATCAGCCGCAAAACCTTGACTTGTTAAATTTATTAAAAAAAAAATTTTTTTTAATAAATTTAACAAGTCAATTAGGTTCTATTTTACTTAATTATCTGGATTAAAAGTTGATTAACGGTTAAATTCTATATTGCAATAAAAACATTTATCCTTCCATTTAATATATTTTAAGACAGATAGATAGATAATCTTTATTACCAGTATTAAAAAATAAAAAACTAAAAGAACAAAAAGGAAAAAAAAAAACAATTAATGTTGCTGGTAATAGGAGCCGCCTCAGCTGTTGCTATGTATGTACAGCTCCAGCGAGATGCACCTATATAGCACTGATTTTCAGGCGGCCCCATAACTCCTTTACCTTTAGCATGCGTGCGGGTCGCCAATACCCATTTCCCGAATGGGAGTCTCAATACGCTTAACAACAAATACATAAAACATTACAACAAATACACAAAACATTACAACAAATACACAAAACATTACAACAAATACACAAAACATTACAAAAAATTCACAAAAATGTAAGCTCTAATCCTTTCAAACATCCTATCAATATCTGGTAACCCTAAACTGTGAAACAAGCAAATATACCATACCACAGCGAACGTTTAATTAGCTCCAACCGAGGACGGGAACGCAATAAGATTTTAAACAAACAGCGCGCCGCAATGTAAAGTTTCAATCCGGTGGCGGCGCGCCGGTGCTCGGTGCGGACGGAAGCGGCCGACAGCCTGCAATCTAAGTAGAAATGCCCCCACTGGTTCGTGTAGGGCGGCCAATGACTTTTGATTTGGAGGACACTCGTGATAAGTTGACATTTCTTTTTATACAACCTAGAATGGCAAACAAACTGACGGCCCACCTGATGGAAGTGGTCACCGTCGCCTATACACATGAGCAGTACCATGGCCATAACAGAGTATACTGTTTCGCCCATGATACCCCCCATTCGTCGCCATTCCTGAGGACTCAGGTGTTATTCCTTCGTACCCAGTAAATTCATGCCATATCCCATCCTTCAAACTGAAACACAGCCATGAAAACACAACTGCTTTACAGTTGAAACACGAATGGGACAGAGGTACCCAAGCAATCGACTTTTGTACAAAGTCTCCCTCTGGTTAGACATATTTAGTTAATTGTAGTAATTATTTCATTTAAATCAAATATTATATACATAATATGTAATCAACTTTATTTGGCGTATATTTACGAATATTTTAACAAGCTGACTGACGTGACAAGAAGAGAGCTATATTTTTATAAGATACTAGCTGACCCAGCGAACTTCGTTCCGCCTAACAGTCTGAACTGCACGCGGTACTGGACAGTACTTGGACATTGCAACATTACTTTATTTTTCTAAAATAAAAGAATTTTTCTAAAATAAACGTAGCATAAATTACTCCTTATTAAATCAGCTACCTGCCAATAAAAGTCTCGTCAGAATCGGTTCAGTCATTTCAGAGATAAGCCGGAACAAACAGACAGACAGACCGACAAAAATTGTGAAAAATGTTATTTTGGATTATGTACCGTATATATATATATATATATATATATATATATATATATATATATATATATATATATATATATATATATATATATATATATTTCAATATTACAAACAGACACTCCAATTTTATATATATGTATACATTATTGATTTAGTATTCACTAAAAGTTGTTACTAAATAGAATAATATATGTTTATTGATTTATTAAAAAAATAAAAATAACAGGACGTCCGAGTTTATTCGAATACTTGGCCACCGTTTATAAGCGGAGAGTCGACGTATGATTTACTGGCCGCACTATTAACATGTTATTATGACACAACTGTAATTTGTCGAACCACTTTTTTGCCCCATTATGTATTATTTCCGGCCCTAATTCCCGATTGTTGGTTATAAACAGTGTAAACAGTAGTCCATTTGTTGTAATTTATTAAAAAGTAAACGCTTCTTGTATACGTATTAATAGATTATAAATAAAATTTATCCTTATATGTGTTTTTAAGCGACTTTCCGAAAGAAAAAATGTATTAACTCGTCAGTTTTTTCTAATACGTTACAAGATTATGTTGTTATACGCATAAAATTGAAAGAACAAATTAAACAATGCTTAATGATTAGTAATGACGCTTACCTTAACTTATTACTTATTTGTTTTGTTTATCTTTTTAAATAATTGAAAATTAAATTAAATTATTTTTTTTTATACAACTTACAATGGCAAACAAGCTGACGGTCCACCTGATGGCCTATAGACATGAGCACTACCATGGACATAACAGAGTATACTGTTTCGCCCATGATACCCCCCCATGCGTTGCCATTCCTGAGGACTCAGGTGTTATTCCTCTGTACCCTGTAAATTTACGCCATATCCCATCCTTCAAACCGAAACATAGCCATGCAAACACAACTGCTTCACGGTTGAAACACGAATGGAACAGAGGTACTCAAGCAATCGACTTTTGTACGGTCTCCCTTTGGATATATTCCAAAGAGTGGTTGTTCCAGAGACGTTTTAAAAACCACAATGTCAACAGCCAGTATTAAAACTCTTTTAAAAGTCACTAACATTTGGTTTTAAATTTTGACTCGCAAAATTCCAGTACAGACAATACTTTTTGAAGTCGATCTGAGTTAGCACCAATGTTGAACATTACCGAACGAAAGGGGGACAGTGGAGCCTTCCGCCATACTTTAGCGTGAATTAATTGCAGCCCTATGGCCACTAATTTATTCTTTACAAACAGAAGATAAAGCTTACGATGCAAGCGTTATTTTAGGAGGCGATACTGAGAAGTGTTTTAAAGTTTTTTTTTTATTTTTTATTATTTTTACACACGGATGTCAGTGTCGATTGAGTGTCTCCGATTTACATAAATAACAGGAAAACAAGAAATAAAAATATTTCCAACGAGAACATGAACATGGAACCGGTAAAAAGCCGTTCTCTCGTTTGTTCGGTTTTAATTTCTTTTAGATTATCTAATCCTTATGTTTTGTTTGTGCATGTTTTCGCTACAAGTGTCAAATATAATTTGTTTTTGGAAATTATAATGAGAAAATATTCTTATGTTAAAAGCAGTACTGTATATAAATAAATTAAATCAATGTAAATAAATTAGCGAGGTCAAATAGTAAATGTATGATAGTTAAATGTTGTTTATTAACCGACTTCAAAAAAATAAGATGCTCGTTTAGATTTTTTTGTGAAACAAAATCTTAATCAAAATATAATTTAAAAGTACTCCTTTTCATGCACTGAATAAAAACCTTACATGGAATTTATTTGTCCATTATTATTTATTTACTAGCGGCCCGTCCCGGCGTCGCACGGGTGGACATTTTTAACATTTCCCTTGACTGCTCTGCTCCTATCGATCGTGGCGTGATGAAAAGTATACTATAATCTGCCCAGGAGTATGAAGAATAATTGCATCAGGTTTCGTTAAAATCTGTCGAGTAGTTTTTGTGTCTATAACGAACATACAGACAGACAGACAAAAATTTTACTGATTGCATTTTTTGACATCAGTATCGATCACTAATCACCCCCTGATAGTTATTTTGCAAATATATTTCATGTACAGAATTGACCTCTCTACAGATTTATTATAAGTATAGATTTGTAAATAAATAAATAATAATTTAAAATCGTTGAATATTAAATTCGAGAGGGCTACGCTCGGTGTATTAGTATTTTATTATTTGTGTCTCGGTATTTCTTTGCGTGATAGAATCCAAAACGAGGATACCCGCAAAGGAATTAAAATAACCGATATAACCCGAAGGACGAACTTGCTGGAGTTTCGACAGACGACCACAGAGTGTTCGTGTTCGGAGATTTAAGATATAGGTGTTATTATTGTTATGTGATTTTAATATAATTAATATTATGAATATGGCTGTGTTTCGGTTTGAAGGGTGGGATATGGCGTGAATTTACTGGGTACAGAGGAATAACATCTGAGTCCTCAGGAATGGCAACGCATGGGGGGGTATCATGGGCGAAACAGTATACTCTGTTATGTCCATGGTACTGCTCATGTCTATAGGCGACGGTTACCACTTTCCATCAGGTGGGCCGTCAGCTTGTTTGCCATTCTAAGTTGTATAAAAAAAAAAAAAAATTGTGAGTGAGCGTATTGGGAAGATGTAAAACTCACTCAGTTGATGAAATAAATAAATAAATAAACTAAATATATATCTTATATACTTTTAAATATAGTAATTATTATTTCAACCATTGACTGTCCACTGCTGAACATAAGCCTTCTACCATAAGGGGAGTTTTGCCAGTAGTTGCCACGCTTGGCAGGCGGGTTGGCAACTGCAGTTAGACTTTAGAGATGTCTTAATAGGGACGCTGCTGCCCATCCCTCGTAATATATAAAATAAATATAGTTTAAATATAATAATGTGTATCTATTTATATTCCTTACAGTACAGGTGA